TCCATTACCTCTTGCTCTTAAGCAACAATATAGTAGTATTACACATTTGGTGATTGATCATTTCTGTACTCTCAATAAACTCATTACGATATTATCGTATTCACCCCAACCTTCCGTCATTTTAGTTGTAAACACTTGTCCGAATCGTATCCAAATACTGCAAGAATAGTACCAATAGCACATCTCAATTTAGAACGCATTTTTCTTCTTCAAGTCAAGAGATTCAATCTCCGTTAATGCTGATCGATGGGAAACATTGATTTCGCAGAATATATCTCATTTACGCAAATTCTACTTTCAACATGAGGAGTCGAATTATGGCATTTTTGAATTGCAACCACACTATAAGTTAATTCATCGATTAACTTCATTGTTTTGGACCGAACGATGATGGTGTTTTGAACTTCACCTTAAAGATGACAAGTTTTTCGACGGATATATTACTTTTGTTATTTACTTAATACATATGTTTATTGGAAAACAACACAACAGCTCATTATTCCTCATCGGCAAAAAAACGACTAATTCTTCAATTAATCTTTCTCAAACTACTCGACTTATTGTGGACAGTTATACTTTCTTGAATGTAAAGAATGCCTAAAAGACTCAATCATTCATTGATGAGATCAAATATTGTTTTACTATGATTGACGTTATTCATTTGAAACCTAGTTTTGGAGAAATATTTGTTGGTACATTAATTAAATTTATACAATCATTTTCTTATCTTGATTCATTGAAATTTGCTTTTTCATCAACACTGAAACTGTGTTGTTTATTTGTTGAAGATTCACAAATCCTCCATTCAGTTAAAAATAGCAACAAAATTACTAAAGTCAGTCTTTGGTGAATGCACAAAATGGAAGATATTTATTTTTTCATTGATCTTTTTCCTCAAATGAAACATCTTGTGATGGATTGTACAGGGTTGTGCATAACCTTTTGCTAGGGGGGTAGCGTCATTATTTCAAGTTGAATACCTAATGAATTTTATACCAAATTAAAGAGCGTCGAAAACTGGATNTCTCAAGTTAAAATTAGGTTAAGATTCAATATGAAAATGGTCCAAAAGTATTCTCGAAATGGGCACCTTCTCAGAATATTCTGGTAAAAATAGACCCTAGAACAGAATAGATTTTTCTGAAAACTGTATAGATTGATAGAGCGTGAGACGATGCAGTTTTTTATTCTTAAGATTTTTAGTTCTTCTTCGACTTTTAAACAAAACAGCAGCTTACAAAAATATGAATATTCGTCTGTGATATGAGAATCGTACCTATATGATGTTCCATAAACTAAGAGAAAAGTTAATGGTAAATCTAATCAGTACATCATTTTGTAGAACACAAAAAACTACGTCGATCTACGCTATTAGTTTTCATATTGGGTTTACAACAGAAAAAATTATAAATACCATACTTATTATTCGAAATGTCCAAAAGCGATAGACGCTGCAGACTATTTGGCACACGAAATCGTTTTTTTATATTCAGCAAAAATCAAAATAAATAGACAAAAATGTGCAGAATTTCATGCTCTATCTTTCTATTCTATTGAAAATGAGATCTAGGAGGTGGCAGATTTACGACCTTATCCGGCGGTGTCCTTTAATAGTTTAGGGTTATTAGAGCCATATATGAATTATTGTAATATCTAAAAGTGGCTCAACATCTTCAATTCTGTAAGTACGCGTACAATGCTTCTGAAGATCTTGTATTTTTAACTCCTGTTGCTTTTCACCAGTCAATAAAAGCATGAAAAATGATAAAATTCAATTTCGGAAGACCGTTCATTAATATATGTAATGTTTCAGGAACTTGACTACTATCATGACAATTTAACTCGATGATTTCCAGATGTGATAATCGTTTCACAATTAAAGAAGTAATGATTATAGTATCTGGATATTTCCAATCCGTATAAAGATGTAGTTTTTGCAATCCATTTGACATGAGTATATTGCACAAAGAAGTATCATTGAAAAGTTTCATTCAATTTTGATTGTTCGAATCATCATCAACATTATAATTGAAGTGATAACGAAGTTCTAAACTACGTAAATGATTCATTTTTGATAAGATCAAACTTAGTTGACATAGGTCAGATGAATCATCGATTGTCAGCGAAATGATTTGATGCTAAGAAATAATAGTTGGTAAGTAACAGAGAAATTCGTTGTCAATCTGAGAGCGTCTACCATCCAATGTAATATTATTGACATATGTCAAACGATTGTTCAAAGTCGGCACAGTATATGGCCAACGACTTTGTCTAAATAATTGAAAAAACATCATTTTTTATATGTAAAAGAAATTCAAAATGATACATACACGCAAATAATGTTTTTGTCTAAACAACTATAAGCATCCAAAGATTTGTCAATTCGTAGTAATGTGAAAGCATTAATAGAATAACTGTTTTTCCCTAGACTAAGGATAGGGTCTAGAAACGGGAATTCATCTGACTGCATGTACCGTTTTTGTCTGTAGCATGGCACAAATGACCAGGTAACTATAGAAAAAAAGACGATAATGTAACTACGGCATCAATCACCCGGTAACTAAGGTAAAAATGAACATATCGCTCTGATACTGCTGATTATTTTGATGTTGCATAAATAAATACTTTAAAGATGACGCATAGATAATAATATTTGAACTAGGGAACAAGTTAAATTTTTTAAGGTTTGATTAGTATTTTTATGAAGATATTTATTTTACAGCAGACCAATTAGTTATCTATATATCAAATTCACTTTGTAATCTTATTAATTGATACAGAATATTTTCAATAGTATAATTTTTATTAGCTAATATCGTACCATTTAAATAACATAATATTAATTTATTTTGTCAAAAATAGTACTAAGTTAAAAATTTGAAATATTTCATAATAATATCTATACTGTTATTGTAATAAATAAATATAACGATTACGTAACGCCGATTTTACTCTTGATATGGAGGAAGATGAAAATAATATTAACAACAAAGAAACGGAATGTTTGTATATATAGAATCTTATTAAGACTTCAAAGGAAATGTTGATCTGTTTTATGTAGCATGCCGTTCATCATCAACAAATATTATTAATACACGTATGAAAAGGACAACGATATGCCCAAACGTCTTATAGGACAATTCAGAAAAGCAATGTCAAGGGTTAGAAGCTTAAAAAAAGATGCATTTGTAATTTGATAATTTTAAAATCTTAGGGATTGTATTATGGTAAAATATTTTTTATTAAATTTGTCGTTTTAATTGTCTTGTAACTCCATACAAAAATCATTGTGATGTGTTTTTTTATCTATAAGTAATATTGATCAGCTCTCATTCATATGTAAATACATTTATATGCGCATGTAGACCGCGAGAGCCTAGGGCCAAGTGAATCGAGCTTCGATGAACGTTACTTGTCATATAAACATAATTCTAATTCGATTGGTATTCGTCCTTTCAGTTGTTGTAATGTATTTAACAAGATAATACTTGTGTTCGAAAATGATATTGTAGTTTTCACAATCCATCTAACAGCCAACCTATATGAACATTGGTGACAAAGCATTGATAGTAACTTGCAAACAATATAGGGTCCATTCACCATACCAACTAATGTGAAGTTCGTTAGTGAATATAAAACATCGTGATAAAATAATTGGTCAAGTAGTTCCGTAGCATAACTATTATAGTTTAATGTTATCTTAAGACGACGTAAGTTGGGAAATAGACGTTTATCAATACGAGAAACTTGACTAAAATAGATTAACAAAAAAAATAATCATAAATAGATGATATACTATTTCAGTTTTTACTGAAAAATACTCTTTTCCATTGTTCATTGACACCATATCATACAGTACTAGTGTTTTAATTATTTATGCACAGTAGTTTGTATTTTTATACTGAAAATACTTTTCTTTTCATAGCGCAGAAACGATGAAAATTTTATACAGAAAATTTTGTATACAACAACAAACTTCTATCTTATCATCATGTATTGTATCATCATGATAATGATAATAATGAACTTATTATTAAACACATCCATTTTCATCGCCTAATTGAGTCTATTTCACACTTATATGACAGGTGTTCTTTTCTTTGACTAATGTTTAACTAAATATTTTTTTTTCAGAAAAAGTTATGAACAAAATCCAAAACAAATTCATTAATAAAACTATAACAAATAATTAGCGACTACTACGAGAAAATTTTCATAGACAATCGAAATTCATTTAATCATTTACTATCAAATATTCACAAAGATGAACATCATTGACTTACTGTATGATAATGGTTTTGTATCAAAAAAAACAAAAGTTTTTTCTCTCTCTCGTAAGCTGGTATTAAAACTCAATGATTATTGTTTTAAAAACAATTTTCTTTCATCAAGACTTTGTAAAGGTATATGATTTTTTTGAGCTCATTTTGTATGATTAGCTTTCGAGGGTAAAGAGTTAGTGACTTTTTCAAAAGAGAATGCTCCGATATTGCAACTTTATTTTAAAATATATTATAATATTTCTTCATGCCCTCATGAATTTTTATTTCCTTCTAATCTTGAAGTTTTATATTCAACTCTTATATGTTCTAGTTATATCTCAGATTAGAAAACAATGGTCAATCGATGTGATTTGAATAACAAACAAATGAGAAGAGTTTTTCTTTTAAATACATATCAGTTGATTATCCTTTCCTAATAAAAAAATATCATAATTTATATCTTGATGTTATCAAAAATTTAAACCCGTTGCTTAATTCTCATTACATTCATCTCTCATATTCATTGAGTTCATTCATGAGTCTTTGAAACAACATAGAACTTTTCTAAATTATCATCTTATAATTAAACACTCTATAGTTGATTGAAAAACATATTCTTGTAAAAATGATATCAGTAATTCATAAAACAATTCATTGCCAATTATAATCTGTTATGTTAATATTATTGAATAAACTTATATATATCATAATGTTTATATTGACTTCAACAAGAGAAACTTATTTGTTATAATCATTGATGAGTGGATGTGTATCGGGTAGCCAAGGAGTACACAAATTAAAGTTAAGCTCCTGCAGTTGTGGATTATATCCAAGTAAATGCAACAGAAAGGCTGGCGAACATTCTCGAAGTACAAGTGATTGTAAATTCAAAAGATTTGTTTCAATCGGTATAAAAGTTCTATTAACTGGTAAAACTATTCGACTAACTTGAGAGTCGTATACGTACCGCCAAAAACGAAGGTGACATACACGTAGTAAAGGAAATAAGCAAAAGATTCGTTCATAATATGCACGTTCAGGTACACCTTTATATGTATATGCAGCTTGATAGAATTCTGAATAACGTATACCAAACACGACAAGAGATGTGTTGGGTGAACACATATTGAGCATCAATTCAAAATAAGAACGTTTAATATCGATTAGAGATAAATGACGAAGATTGGTGAATGTAGATAAATCTAATGCTAACCATAAGCTATCATCAATAGTTAATGTATGTGAGACACATAATGATATAAGACGGCTGTATCTATTTTGTTGTAATAAATCTATTTTATAGAATTCAGTTACTGCTATACTTATCCCATTTAGACCCAAATAAACGCGAATAAATGGTATATTTCTAACGATATTAGTAAATCGAGAATTAACATTAGAAAAAATAGAGTATTTCATGAAACTGGGAATAAATAAATATTTCGTAGAAAAACTCGACTGACAGATCCTCGAATCTTGTCATCATATTTTGTTTTAATATCAAGCTATTTTTATGTTATGCATCATTCTTATTATACATCTTCATAAACAATAGTACAAAGCATTTTTGTTCTTTCTGTCAACAATTATCGCTATGAGACGATATTATTTTCTTATTCGTCAGCTTCAGAGATCAACAGATATATAATAACAATGTCCGTTTTCCTTTTGTGTGTGTGTCATATCAAACAGTTTTCTGAAAATTTTTGCGATTTTTTTTTTACTCTTATATTCGAAGTAAAGTCTTCTCAGAAACAAGTTAAGTAGAAAAAAATCTGATACTGTGTACTTGTTACAATATATTGGATAGTCAACAACACATATATCATATATATTGATAATAATAATCATAATAATTTAGTACATCATTATCTTTTTCTTGTTGTTTTTGTTTTATTAAATAATACAAGATAAAGTCAGAAAAATGAAATTATATCTGACGAACAAGTAGCAGGAATCAGCATAAAAAAAAAACAATAAACTTTTGGAAAAGAAATGCATTTTTTTTATTTTTGTTTCCTTGGCTACAATTTATATCATGATCATGCTGTTGCTCCTAAAAATCGTGTGTTAATATGTTATCTATTTTATTCGTTTTTTTTACTTACGGCGGATCGGAATACTTTTATTTTGAGTTGATAAATTTTTTGTCTCCAAGTACCCTGTGCCATGTGATTTAAAAGATAATGTATCACTAAATTTATTATTAATTTCACAACGAACACCAAAATTTTCTCTTAAACTATCGGGTAATGCAACAACTATCGTAATAGGTAAGTAAGTGGTATCTTCCTGATGCCACAATTGACGTTCTTGGCCAGGTATAATTCCTAAGATTTTTACAACATGATGTGCATAAAATAAATCACCACCAGGTTTTAAAATTAAAATCATTTTATCTGACATCTGAAAATAAACATACATAGATACTGTTCGTAATAATAAATGATGAAATGTAGAATAAAACAATTGATGTATTAAGTACCTTTTCGATCTATTTTATTTCAAGACGATATGCTTCTATTGGTTTAGGTATTATGAGAAAGATATTTTAAATGATCTTTTTTCCTCCTTCAATTTTTGCTCAGCAGTCACCGGTCGATTTATATAATTGACGAATAAAATTTTAAATTGTAGCCAAGGTATAGTTAGTGTTATAAATTCTTGTTTTTTTTTCAGATAAAACAAATAGTTTAATAATGACTCGAGATATTCGTTTTATAAGTATTTACATCAAAATTTTAAGCAAGCGCGTATATCACGTTGTAGAGCACACTCAAAAGTGTAACACAATAAGTTTTCTTACTCGGAACATTATTTCTATAAGTCTTTAAAATCTATATACTAAGTTCTAATCGCCATATCATCCATTGCAATTTGATTCGTGTTATTACACAACAAACTGTGTACCTCGGTGTTTAACTTCGTAACCTCTTAATAAAATTTTTTGTAAACTATCATAGGCTATCTGTCCTTCGACAAAACAACGAAATTTTATCTTTTCTTCACGTTGAAAACTTCTAAAAATAAATCTTGATCAATACTGCTATCAAAACCTTAAAATGTTGCTTGTTCCTATATTTCCCGATATGATTAATTTCAACAATAGTTACTCGTACATATTGAGAGAACGTTTTGAACTGTCTAGTTACTCTTGTATTCGACCTCAGTTCGAAAAGGGTGTGGGTGCGGGTATGAGTCGGCGTGAGTGTGGGTCTTCTCGGCTGCAAAGCCACACCCACATCCAATTTAGTTGTCCATTTGGAGTATGTATCGATGCCAATGATCATTTAATTGTTGCCGATCATGATAATAATTGTGTACAATTTCTCGATGAAAATGGTGAAATGAAACTTATATTAGATCAAAAAGTAAATTCTTTATTTAATTTTCAAGGTGTTCAGGGTTTAGCATTGACTTATGATGGTGAACTTCTTATTACTGATTATAAATGAAATGGAAAACATTGTTTATTTATTTTTGCTTAATTTTTTTTCTCTGATGCTGTTGTTTTTTTTTAACAGATTGTGCAATACAATTTGAATATTCTGTTTTGTTTGTCAGTGATTTTTAAAAGAAATACTATTGGATTTTATTCATTAAAACAGATATTTGAATGTAAAAAGATAAATGGTTGATAGATCCCAACCAAAATTCACAACGCAAAAATGGTGTTAAAATGGTCGGAAATTTACATCATTATAATGGTGAAAAACTGTCACAAATAACCCTGAAAAACGCCCACTTTATAATGCGTTAAAATGATTAATTTGATGAATATTAAATGATTCTACATTTACAATAAAAATTTGTACAAAAAAATCATTTATTCGCATCATTTGTAACAATTTTTATAATTTTTTTGGAAACGTAATAATCGTGTGACCTTGCACAAAAATTGTTTTATTGATTTTCTCGTAAACGACTTCCTCGAAAGATAAATCTTTGATCAATATCTTTTCAAAATATGATTTCCAACACAGTACCTAGATTCTGTTGAAACTTATTATTCATATTTGAGATACCTGTCTCCTCCTATATTCTAGTTCAAGTTCATTCTTCTTTATCTTCTAGTGATATCACAACTTTACTACATACATGTAGTGAATTATTAGGAAGTTTCGTATCTCTAATAAACCTTAGCTCATCTTACGAGGTAAATTAAATTTTTATTTTATTTTAAAGAGACTTGAGATGAGTGACTCCTTTAGATTTTTCAAAATAGACCTCAGTTAAAAGATAATAATGTTTCGAATATCAAAACTAGTTATTTTGACATCGAGCATTTCAGTTTTATCAGCTATGTTCTGACTGTATACATATCTGAAAGACAAAAAGAAGAGTATAAAAGAGAATCATCAACTCTAGCCTCTTTAAAATAAAATAAAAATTTAATTTACCTCGTAAGATGAGCTAAGGTTTATTAGAGATACGAAACTTCCTAATAATTCACTACATGTATGTAGTAAAGTTGTGATATCACTAGAAGATAAAGAAGAATGAACTTGAACTAGAATATAGGAGGNCATCATTGGGTATTGTGCCCTGAAAGTTTCAGAAGCAGATCTCTTACTAATGAGAAATGGCATATAAATGGCTGTTGAGTTCTTGTCAAGCCTCTAGACTCCCTGTAACTCGAGCAAATGTGGCGTAGATGATGCCGCTGACCTACATTCTTCATGGGCTGCCTGCACACCAATTTTCAGTCGCTCAGCTCTTGTATGGACTGAGATCCGAGGGGGGGGATACTTTTGTCAAGTAGTGTATTTTGTTGTAATAAATGTATTTTATAGAATTCAGTTACTGCTATACTCATCCCATTCACACCCAAATAAACGCGAATAAATGGTATATTTCTAACGATATTAGTAAATCGAGAATTAACATTAGAAAAAATATTGAGTATTTCATAAAACTGGAAATAAATAAATATTTCGTAGAACAACTCGACGGACAGATCCTCGAATTTTGTCATCATATTTTGTTTTAATATCAAGCGATTTTTATGTTATGCATCATTCTTATTATACAACTTCATAAACAATAGTACAAAGCATTATTGTTCTTTCTGTCAACAATTATCGCTATGAGACGATATTATTTTCTTAGTCGTCAGCTTCAGAGGTCAACAGATATACAATAACAATGTCTGTTTTCCTGTTTTTTGTGTGTCATATCAAACAGTTTTCTGCAAATTTTTGCGATTTTTTTTACTCTTATATTCGAAGTAAAGTCTTCTCAGAAAGAAATTAAGTAGAAAAAAATCTGATACTGTGTACTCGTTACAATATATTGGATAGTCAACAACACATATATCGTATATATTGATAATAATAATCATAATAATTTAGTACATCATTATCTTTTTCTTGTTTTTTTTGTTTTATTAAATAAAACAAGGTAAAGTCCGAAAAATTAAATTAAATCTGACGAACAAGTGGCAGGAATCAGAATAAAAAAAACCACAAACTTTTGGAAAAGAAATGCATTTTTTTTTTGTTTTTGTTTCCTTTGCTACAATTTATATCATGATCACGCTGTTGCTCCTAAAAATTGTGTGTTAATATGTTATCAATTTTATTCGTTTTTTTTACTTACGGCGGATCGGAATAGTTTTATTTTGAGTTGATAAATTTTTTGTCTCCAAGTACCATGTGCCATGTGATTTAAAAGATAATGTACCACTAAATTTATTATAAATTTCACAACGAACACCAAAATTTCCTCTTAAACTATCTGGTAATGGAACAACTACCGTAATAGGTAAGTAGGTGATATCTTCCTGATGCCACAATTGACGTTCTTGACCAGGTATAATTCCAAAGATTTTTACAACATGATGTGCAAAAAATAAATCACCACCAGGTTTTAAAATTAAAATCATTTTATCTGACATATGAAAATAAACATACATAGATACTGTTCGTAATAATAAATGATGAAATGTAGAATAAACAATTGATGTATTAAGTATATTTTCGATCTATTTTATTTCAAGACGATATGCTTCTATTGGTTTAGGTATTAAGAGAAAGATATTTTAAATGATCTTTTTTTTCCTCCTTCAATTTTCGCGCAGCAGTCACCGGTTGGTTTATATAATTGACGAATAAAATTTTAAATTGTAGCAAAGGTATAGTTAGTGTTATAAATTCTTTTGTTTTTTTTTCAGATAAAACAAATAGTTTAATAATAATGACTCAAGATATTCGTTTTGTTGATCGATCATTAATCAATCGTTTATTAGAAATTTATAAATCTAGTCATTTTCTTGCATTATGTTCTTTTCTACTAATTATTTTTATATCATCAATTATTCCATTATCAATTATTTGGTTAATACAAATATTATTTTTGAGGGTGTGGGTGTGGGTGTGGATGTGGGTGTGGGTGTGGGTGTGGGTGTGGGTGCGGGTGTGGGCGTGGATGTAGGTGTTGCTTTTCTTTCTACCAACACCCAGACACACATTCACACTCCACACCGACACCGACACCGACACCCACACCCACACCCACACTCACACCCACACCCCACACCCACACCCACACCCACACATACCCACACCCACACCCACCAAAGATAGTAGCAGGCTCTCAGACACTCTACCAAAGCTGTTCATAAAAATCATAAAGATCAAAGTATTTTATGACTCATT